TTATACCAGCTTGTATGGCAGCTTAATTAATTAAATTATGACCAAAGTCTGAGGCCTAAAACCCTTTTTGAAACTTTTGAGCAAAGGCTCTGTTTCTGAACAAAATTTAATTTTCTTTAACTTTGGCAAAATGCCCATGTATAATTGCAGACTCATGAGCTAAACATCTGCAAAGCTATAAATAGCTTTAAAAGAGCACGTGGTATCACTGATATTTTATTGTACTTTGCTTAAAAATAACCAAGTGGTTTAAGCCACACCAAAAAAACAAAAACAAAAAAACCACTGGGTTAAACCTAGTTCTAATCAAACTCTTGTCAGCTTGCCTGACACCCACATAAAATGCTATCTCATCTCTAATGGAAAGAGGTGGCCTTTAGAGATTACAGATCTCAGCATTCAGTGGTCCAGCATGAGCCAAGAGGCCATATCACTGCTGGACACAGTTCTCTTGAGAGTAACATCCCGTTTACCAACTCTGGCAATATTTTGTTTCCCTTAAGGTGTCACCTCAGAATAGTATGATTAAATGAAAAGCAAAGATGCTCACAGAAATTTCTCATAGTTGTAATTTTGAGAAGTTTGAACCTTCCATCCTCCTGTCAAGTTTGGTGGCAGAATTTTAGCAAAGTCGTGTTAGAAACCTAGTGCTCTTTCAAACCTGCTTTCCTAAGCTCCTTGAACAGCCCCTTATAAGTGCAACTTGGAGGCTACATCTAGACTACAAGCCTCTCTTGAAAGAGAGTGGCTTGACTACAAGCAGATTTTTTCGAAAGTCTAGATGCTCTCTTTCGAAAAAGCACAGTTTGCATACAATAGCACCTTTTTTCGAAAGAGTACTTTCAAAAAAAGGCATTATTCCTAGAATAAGGTTTACTGCGATCGAAAACGCGGCTGCCGTACAGACGCAGGTGTAGTTTTTTCAAAAAAAGTCTACATTTTTCAAAAAAACTTTGTAGTCTAGACACACCCAGAGTCACCCTGAGGTAGTTCTAAATTGTACTAGGGTCTATAATCAGCCCCTGGCTAGCCATGGGATTGGGGAGGTAAAGGGTGAATCTACTGCTGCTTTCCTGGAACCTGTAGATTTAATATATATTGCCTCATTTATAACATTTAACTACAGTTTAACAATAAAATTACATCTCAGGCACTTAAACTGCACAGCCAACCAGATCCATGCTATATTTGAAAAGATAAATTGTGACCTTCTTGCTGCTTTAAGTCAGTTTTCTCTCATCCTTTGATGAAGTAGACTGTATGAACTTCCTGTGAGTCATTTGAAAATAGCAGAGCAGGGGAGATAGAGAAGGGCATAAGTTTTGATGTGCTGCTGTCTCCTTTTTCAAACAGCTCAAGATTACAGCTTGAAACAAAAAATGAATTAGGGTATTCATTCGAGAGAGAAGCAACTTTACACATACAGGATACATCCAACACCATAAATCTGAGAGGCTGCTGCTGCAGTTAGTGACTCTGAAAGTCTGTATATTACAAAGGGCTGCTTAGCACAGAAATGGCAGTAGAATGATTTCACAAGAACTACTTAATGTCCTGGAAAAAAGATTCAAATTACATTAACATTCACGAGTAGAATGCTTAAGCTGTACTGAAGGTTTCCCTCATACACCTCTATAACATGGATCAAATTAAACTAAGCTGTGAAACTTGCAACTTGGGTTGATGGCTAAAGGTTGTCTTTCCTCATTACTTCCAAATTGCCAGAAAAAATATTGTCAGTGTCTTCCCTTAACCCAATATCCAGGATGATAGCTGCTGCTACATAAGTATAATCAATGCCAACTGCCAACAGCTCTTACAGTCTGTCTTGTAAGAGCCCACATTTTAACTACCTCTGTCCATTTGGATAAGACTGTAATGACGTCGACTTTTATAAATTGGTAAAGTTTCTCTCTGTAAGCTGAAAGGCCAAAGAAAATTCTCACAGGCTGTGTATTAAATTAATACTTAGGAGGTGAATTAAACAAACAATTGGAGCACAAAGGGCATCTAAGCAGCATCTCAGAGTGCAGTAGCAAACTGACACCCAAGTTAATGGCAGAGCTTGCGCTTTAATTTGAGGAAGCCCTAGCTTTTGTCCTTTGTATGAACCTTGAGACAGTCTCTTTCTCTCCGCCAAGCCTTTTGAAATTGATCACTTCATAGATAATGTCTGCTCCATTTCGCCCCACAACACCCATCCCGTGTTTTGTATTTGTCTGATAGGGTTCTAGCCTCACGGTGTTAATCTACTGAGTCTGAAAATGTTCTGTAAAGTGCTGTGCACGTGTATGATGATAAACATTTTACTGGAGTGGTATGTGTCAGAGGTGTCAGTCTTTGCAGTGAACAAACTTTTGGAGAGTTTAGAATTCCCCCCTCAGCCATTTGATAGGGAGCAGGAGAAATATTCTGTATATGTTTAACTAGATACTTTGTCTTGCCCAGAGAGGCAAAAAGGCTGGTGTGTAGTCAGACTGGTCCTATCAATCAAGTTAGCTGAAACTGAGTGAAAAGCACTTAACACTTAGATACAGGATCATAGTTGAAGCTTAGGCTCCCTTCCATCCCAGCTAACACTTCTTTAGGCATGATCTAGCCAGCACCTTAATGAGCACACAAAGGACTTATGCACGAAGGTCTGTCTCAAAATTCTTACCCGTTTTGATTGTCAGTCAAGAAACATCCTTGTTTTTGTTCCCATGCAAAATATTGGTTTTAAAAATTCAGTAAGTGATGAGTCCATAATGCGGTAGATGATTTTAAAAATTGTTTTCTATCAACTTCTAATACAAGAGAAGAGTCAGTAACACTTATCCATTTCTAGTGCGTGTGGCAGACAGCATTGCAAGTATATTGAGATGTATATAGTAAATGCTATTTTAAACTTAAAGATCTAATGCTGTATATTCACAGAACATATCCATGAATTTTTACAGGCAATTTTCTTCCATATTACTTAATTGCCTAGAACAAAATGGCTTTGGCTTTGAAAACAAGTAGCCATTACAAACATTTACCAACAAGTAGTCATGCAATGGTATCCAAAACCCTTCTATTTTAATTGTAGTGCAAAAACCCCTCTAAAGCTGCCCAACAAAAAGCATTAATAATACAAGAGGACAGAACCTTCTGGAAAAAGTAGGGGACTTTACTTTTTTAAAGAAAAGGTAAATAATACGCTTAAAACACAGGGACCAGTAAAATTCAAACTTCATACCAATGCTCAGTCCATAATTCACATTCTTGTGCCTTTTTGTTTCCTCCCACTGTGACGGGAGTTAAGGGCAGAGCATTAATCTAACAAATTCTAAGTTCGGTATATGTTGTGATTTGTCATAACCATTTATTATCTGAATGTGTTTTGTAAAACTTACTGAAACTTAGCACTCTGAACAAAGTCGTCATGGAACAAATCAGGTGCAACTCAGTAAAAGATAAAATGGTGTTTTTGCTCAGATGTGACAAAATGATGGTAAAGCCTTTGTTGCGTGTCAGTTTAAAATGCACAGTTTTAAAAAGGTCAAGGTATGCCATTGTATAAATCAATGTAAATCTTATCTTTTTTTAGACAAAACAAGGCAACTTACTGTTAATGCTTTTTGTCAGCTGCAAAACCTTTTAACTAACTTATTTTTATGTGAACAATGGGTACACATTTTATTCATTAAATATATTTTAAAACTCCTTCATTTGGCCTCTCTTCTGTTCAAGACCGAGCTTAAACTGTGTGCTTGTTTGTTCAGATGTTTCCCTGTCAAGAAATATGGTAACTCTCTTGATCAAAGAATGAATTACCAGTGAGCAGGGCTGAGCTAGAAGTTCTATAACTTGGAGAGGGCGGCTAGATTCCACAGACAAGGCCTGGGCTATGTCCTCTGACTGAGGCCCACATTTTAAAAAGTAGGTAGGAGCCTGAATATCATTTTCCCAGTGAGTCAATGGGATTTAGGTTACTAAGTGCCTAAATCAGTTCAGCATTGCAAAGCTGAGCACTGCCACGTGTACATAGCTTTAAGAACCGGGCCAAAGAGCTTAGTATGCTCTGTGCATGCATTCCAGTAGCAAAAGATTTCACCCTTCAGAAGTACTTTGGAGACTGATGAGAGCTGTGGGTATAAACGGGATTATTTGGCAGCACGAGAGGCTTCTGAACTCTATAAACCATAAGCAACAGCCTTAGTCTTTTCCATGGCAAGTATTTTATAGATGTAAGTTTATATACAGGCATATTGCACAGGACTGCCTGGGTTGGTTCCTACGGATCTGTTTGGGGTAGAGGTGACAAAACAACTGGATTTAAGTTAGATCACCCTTTGAAGGGAGGAGAGGCAGCAGGGCAGTCTCTTCTCTTTTCTGTCCCTCTGACACGGGCAAGGAAGGACTAACAATGCTCAGTGGGCCGGACAGACTTGTCAGGCCCCTGGGCAAGGAGGGGCCAGAAAGTAGGGTTGCCAGGTGTCCGGTATTCTATTGGCCAGTCCAGTTTTTGGGCCCTCTGGTAAAAAAAATCCAGAAAATACCAGACATGTGCAATATCCAGTATTTCCTGGATTTCTGGTTGGGCATCAGACAGAAGTCTGGTAGGGGAGGGGCGCAATCGGTGCTGGGAGCCCTGGCTGCATCTGATGCCTTGGGGAGGAGAAGCCCTGTCCCTGCTCCTGTTTGCGTGATGGAGCCGCAGCCGGACTCACTCATGCTTCTCCAGACTGTGCGTGGGACTGACAGCGCCCTGGGATCTGCACATGCCTGGGTCAGTCCCGGCTCCCTCCCTCTTCTCCCCCCTCCCCCCGACCGGCTGGTTCTCCCCTACTTCTCCTCCTGACCTTCCCCCGCCAGCTCCACCGCCCGTTCC